ACTCCCATCCGGTCACATGGGCGGCAAGCCACTCCCACAAAGGAGGCCACACCCACAGAGTAGGTTCGAACAATTTTTGAAACCCACCACTGAATGTACCAGACATATTTCTAATGTGCTGACTTGTGTGCTGCATTTTCTGCAAAGCAGGTACTTGTATGGATATATTTACAGCAGGAAAAAAAACGAGACTGTGGGAAATGAGGAACTGAAAGTCATGAATGGCTGAGAGTTTCAAATGTACGCAGATGTTTGCAGAGAGTGACGGTCAGTAAGAATGTAAGAAAGAACAAGGGAGTGAACCTATGGAATGTGCATGTTATTAAAAAAAAGAAAGCATAAGAAATGTGAATTGAGATGAGAATGGTGTCCTTTGCCCAATAGCAGTCCTTGTAGGACCTGCTATGTGTCATTGGACCCCTTTGCAATGGTTTAATAATGTAAGTTTTGTTGTGAAATTGCATTGCTATGTTGGCTATTCATGTTCCAAATTGCTCATGAAATAAACATCTGAATCTTAAAGTAAGATTTGTTGCTTGTGGTTTATCTGTGTTCCTCCTTATTGGGACATTTTTATAACAGGTCATAATTCACTTTTTTCAGTGCTGTTGTAACTTTGGTCACTAGGCAAATGACCGTAAGTTGAGGACTACCTATAGCAATATTCATCACACATACTGTAAGGCTTTAAAAAAAACCACACACACACACACGTACCTGCTATGCAACTGTCATCGGATATTGGTACATCAAGGTAGATAAACCCCTTATTATATAAGCCTAGGGATACATAAAAGAACCCCATTATCGTAACAGTTTTTCATGCGGTGTCTTCAATCAATTTGTTGTGCCGAGGAACAAAGAATGTGAGACAGAGTTCAGAAAATGGTACATGGAATACTGACAGTTATGTCCACATTTTTCTCTATTTCAAATTAAATCCAGTTGCTGTTTTGAAAATTAACCCAAATTACTACACTCATGGCATAGTATTGGATAGAGATGCTGGTAAGACAGGATACATCTGTGGCACAGATCTAAGAGACACAAAACTCATTCTCTAAAGCAGTCTTCTCAAACTTGGCAACTTTAGGATGTCTGGGTTCTAAGACCTCTTAAAGTTAACTTTAAGAATGCTTTGAATTGAAATCCAAACATCTTAAAGTGTCAAGGTTGAGAAACACTGCTCTAAAGTATCTTTCCTTAATGATTCTTTCAAGATTGAAATTAAGACTAGGAAACATGTGCACACACAGACACAATCATACACTCACACACAATGTAAGTATGTTGCTTTTTTGATGAGAGATTTCCTTTGAACATATTCAGATGACCCCTCCCCAAAAAGCGGGTGAAAGTTTATAATTACAACTTTATCCTTATGCATATTTGCTTAAAATAGGATTCACCAAAATCCAAATCCAACTCTGAACAAGAATTAAAAGTACATGTATGTAATGAATTACATGTACTTTTAATGTACATTAAATGTACATTTCATAACCGTGTTCTCTAAGCTTGAAAAAAGACATTTTAGCTGAAAAAGTATCTGCAGTGAAACCTTGCTGTAACAGACCGATAGAAAGGGGTTATGTCCATTATTTCCAAATGCCTGTTAAATTTTTCAATTATGTTATTTGCAGCAATTTACAATCTTATGTTCATTTGCATAATGATGTCATTTAGGGTTAATTATATCATTATGCCAATTGCCAGAAATGCTGTGAAATTAATATCAATTTAATTTCCTTCAGGAGGATGCCTGGACAGAAATCTGGTTAACTGCATTCAAAATCCACTAAATTTGTTTTGTTAAATTGTGGTTTCACTGTTTATCAATAGTCACACATAATTATGTCAAAAGCTCAAGTGTTAAACAAATAATTTATTGGTTCTGTGCCATGCTCAAATATTTCCAATAGATTAAATTTTGCAAGTAAATTCCATTAGCATGATTCAGATGACTGAGACACTTATTCTATGTGATGGAAGAGTTTTTAATTATTAAGGCTATTTGCAAATATGACACAGCAAAACCATTTTCTAAATTGAAGGGAAATAATACCTAATTCAGCCATTGGGATCAGCTGTTCTAACCGCCTTCTGCCAATTACCTCCCTCCGACCGATAAGATCGCACAGACTGGGCCTCCTCCGAATCCCATCCGCCAGTCAATGTCGACTGGCGACTACACGG